TGATAGATAGATAGATAGATAGATAGATAGATAGTATTCCACAAATGAAAGTAAGTTGTACAAGTTAATTTTTTTTTAATCTTTCAGTTCCCATTGACTTCATTATATGGACACAAATGCAATGGAAATCAATGGGAACCAAAACTATTTGGTTACCAACATTAATCAAAATATCTATGTTCCACAGAAAAAAATAAAGTCAGACATGTTTGGAACGACAGTAAATGTGTAAATGATGACAGAATTTTCATTTTTGGGTGGACTATACCTTTAAGGGTTGTTGCTAGACATGATGGACAGTTCTAATAAATAAATAAATTAATTAATTAATATTAATTTAGGGGTTAATTCAGGATAATTGGGCCATTTTCCCCCAGTCATCTCAATGGTGCTCCAATTTACCTGAATTCACCCTATTAATAATTTAAATTAATATATTAGCATTATATATCAGTGTTCATCATTTTGCAATAGGGATACTGTTGTTTAAAGTACACTGTTTTCTTATCATGTACAGTAAGATAAAAAAAATATAGATTTAAAATCAATATTTCATGCAAAATGCAAGACTCTCTGTTTGAGGTAAGGGTCCAGATCACCCTGCTGAGATTTATTTGTGATAATGAACAGCTTTCTATAAATTGCCCTTACATTCAAGCACTCTAACATCCAGAGAACTGCACACACCGCTTTTAAAATACAGTTCAATTGATGTTCACTCATGTATTTATATAGGCTATTTTTAAAACTTGACTCATCCAATCAGATTTCAGAGGTGGAACTATGTGTTCTACAAAGAATATATTCATATACGTATAAAATATACTCTCTCTCTTTCTTCCAAGTAGCTTTATTGTCTCTCTCTCCTAATCTCGGTCTGAAGTGTACCTGGCTTATTTGGAGATTGATTCTCCTGCAGTGCTGCAGTTGTAATGAGGCGGCAGGTGTTTGGGAAATGCTAAGGGTAGCAGATCTCCCATCACTCAACTCACTTCCAATTAAACTCATACGGCATGTCCTTCTCTCCACGACGGCTGTAATGGAATTAAAACGAACAAAAAAGGCGCCGTCTAACTGCGTATGTGCCACTAAACTATTTATTCTGCTGGGAGAAAGACTTTTCTTTCATTATTTATGTGAGGAAATAAATGAGCAGCTCTCATTCCAGGGTTACGGTGCAGACTGCTGACTCAGAGCTTTGGACCGGAGCACTTAATTCCCTAATCTGTATTCCTTTGGCCTGTGGAGTACAATACTTTTGTTCTCAAGTATTCCTGATTATAAAGCTCATTTGAGCTCTAATATTTGAGATTGAATGGAATAAATACTAATAGCTTTCACTCCATTTTAGAATTAAAGGGGGATTTTGGGCAATCTGGGATAAAAAAAAAACATACAGTACAAACCAAATATAAGGTTTTCTTTTTTTTTGCAGTTCTGTTTGGTACTATTATATAGCACTTCACCTTTAAGAGGATAACAAAATGAATTGTTTTACAGCTGAAAAGACCAGCACAGCTTCTCATTAACAGCATATCATGCATTTTTTGGGTGAATTGTCCTTTTTAATTCATAATAATAATTATATATATATATATATTTTTTTTTTCGCTCATCCATGATGCAGCAAATAATAATGTAAAGCTAATAATAATGGGTATTATTATCTCTAGACCAGTGGTTTTAGACCATTTTTTACTTCTTGGACTTGGCTAAGACATTTTCATGACTTTTCAATTTCATTTTTCATTTTTAAAAGTTTTATTTTTATTAACATAAACCTGATTCCAGAAGATTTTAATTCTTTATGTTCTTTAATAAAAAGGGGAGAAATAAATATTATTTTCATTTACATAATTTCTTCTATGTTTTTTTAAGCATTTGAATTATAATATAATATAATATAAACTGGGGGTGCTGATATATTAAATTTAATAACGATGAATCATTTTGTGTTACCAGAAAATTCAAGATTATTATTCTGTATATATGTTCATCAATAAAAACAGTAGTTACTGAGGAGGGGGAATATGAAAGATAAAGATGATCTTTTATATTTCATACCCTATTATAGGCCTCTGTAGGAGTTATTGGTTTAGTATTTGTTTATCATATTATGTAATTTATATAGGACATCAGCTAAATCTGCTGAAACCCAGTGTCAAACAAGCACTCTCACCTCCCTAATGGCACTCCAAACATAAAATACTGTCTCTCTGCATGTCTGAGAATGAAAGCGAAGTGAGCCTGTAAATGAGATTTATGCCTTCAGTGCTGATTTTAGTCCCACTGTACACTCTTAAAAATAAAGGTGCTTCAAAAGGTTCTTCAAGCGATGCCATAGAAGAACCATTTTTGGTTCCACAAAGAACCATTCAGTCAAAGGTTC